CACTGTGTGGCAGGTACCGACTGATACTCCCACCATTTGTGATAAAACACGTACAGAAGTTCTTGGCGCATTTTCCATTATTTGTTGGACATTTTCTTTTAATTCTTCAGTCCGCTTTTTAGGTCGGCCGCTTCCTTCTTTTCTTGTTACACTGCCCGTTTCACGAAAAACATTAACACAACGCTGAACTGCACTTTGAAAAATTTTGTACTCAACAACGCCGGGAAATTGATTTTGAAATTCTATGAAACATTCCTCAATAGAATACTTCCATATTCCATCAATCTTGCGTCCATTTCTAAAGTAGGACTCTATGATAAACACTTTTTGTTCTTGAGAAAACACCATTTTAAACGCTTTTTAAAACGAAAATATTCAAATTGATAGCGGCGATATAGCGCTTTGACAGATGACGTTTAAGTTCATTTGCTATACGCTACGCCCTACGTCCAAATTTTCAGAACCAACTTGACCACGTTTTTATTTGAACGCTCGTTATAATAAAGTTGAGGAAGCCAATTGGAGTTTTGTTACTGATACATGTATTAATATAGACATAAAGGTTGAACTTTTTCTTAAGGTGTTACTCGATGCAATTGAAATCTGTCTACCAATGAAAACTAAGACGCAACGTAATTTCAAATCTAGTGATACTGCTTGGTTTATTTAAGGGCTTGCCACTATCAGAGAAAAATTAAATTTCTTAAGAGACGTACATTGTCGGCATTAAACCTCCATATCCAGAGAAACCATAAATTCCTATCACAATAAGTATCGTCTTGAATTATCTGAAGCCAAAAAAGCGCCAATGACAACTATACATCTACTAATAAACAAGCAGCAATGTGGAACCTCATAATAAATAAAAATGACCTGTTCACCTGTAAGCCATTCATTAAACGATAATGCCTTCAATACTTATTTTTCCAGTATTGCAAAGCGTATTTTGAGTGAGCTCCCGCTTCTCAACCGAGTTTTTGACTGCCCCGAGATCACAAACGACTTTTAAATTCAGAGAGTTGTCTTGTAATGAAGGGATAACTATTTTAAATAAAATAAAAACATAAAAGTACTTCTATGTTCCAAACTTGGAAACTCTTAAAAACATTATAATTTTTCAAGTATTTAAACTATTTAATCAATGTATTAGCTCCAACGTATTTCCTGCAGCTTTCAAGTTATCCAAAGTATCTAACTACCGACCAATATCTCTTGTTCCCGTTCTGGCAAAGGTTTTCGAAATTGCCTTAAAAATGCAAATTGCAGAGTTTTTTAGGTTTTAGGAACAAAAGGTCAACAACTTTGGCTATTAACCAATTGACTACGATTATTTTAAACAATTTCAAATCAAACAATGTTGTCAGTGGAAAATTTTACGATTTGACTAAGGCATTTGACTGCGTGTCCCACAGAATTCTCTTAAATAAACTGAAATTTGAAGAAGAAATTGAGTCTTATCTATCGAACAGAACTCAGTATGTTTTTTATAATTCTTGTTCTTCACACCTAACGGAAATAGTTCGTGGAGTTCCCCAAGGCTCAGTATTGCGCCTTATTCTATTTTTTATCTATATTGATGATTTACCAAATTGTGATATAACTACTGATTTTATTTTATTTGCCGATAATGAACCACTTTAAACTCAAATAATAACTTAACTAAACTCACAGAGGATTCAGTGGATGCACTGCCGCTGATAAAGAACTGGTTTATTACTAATAGATTGAACTTAAATGTTGACAAAACTCAATCTTTGCTTTATACACTTCGCCCTATCAATACTTGTGATAACTCAAATAGCATTAAATTTCTTGAAGTTCACCTTGACACTAAATTGAGTTGGGAAAACATGTCAATGATTTATCCGCACGTTTATCTAAGAATATTTTCCTATTGCGTAATTTGGATCGTGTAGTCTCTAAGCCTGTACTCATGTCTGCATATTATGGTACTTTTCACGCTACCACGACTTATACAATTTTGAACTGAGGTTATTCGTCTCAGTAATAAAATTTTTGGTTTACAACGTAAATGTATTAGAATTATAGCTGGAAGATGAGAGATGATTGTCGAGAGCACTTCAAACTGCTAAATATTCTTACAATGCCGTCAGTTTACATACTTGAATGCCTCGTTTATCTCAGATTTTTTTTTTGTTTTCCTTTAATTCCTATATTTTCCAAGTGGGAAGATTTAATTGGAACATCCTGTACAATTTCCCGTTTACCTGTAATATATTATTGCCGCTGCGCTCAAACCGTTTAACAGTGGGTCTGGATGTGTAATATCCTGACCAATAAGCGTGATCGTTTTCAGCATAAGGAAAGAAATCTTCCGTGGTTACGTTTAAGTCAGGCTTAGCCTTCATAACTGCTTGATAGTAACAACTTGGAGTCGAATAAAAAACGTTATATTTTTCATTATTTCGAAAGCCTCTAAAAAGATGAATTAAGTTAGATATTTTTTTGATTATGGCTTTAAACTTACTTTATTAATTTATCTATATTCATGTAATTTCTTTCCGCTGCTTGATATTGGAAATCTCCACCCATACCAAATAAAATATTATTGGTTCTATAATAACTGGAATAATTGCTGATGTATTCAGAGAAATCCTCGACCTGAAACGTAAATCTGTAAAGGTGCCCTTATTTTATAATACGGCGGTCATACATAATCTAGTATGCGTTTATAAACGAAAGAAGCTCAAAATAACAGTTTGCATAGTGAATTACTTTAAATTAAGCTTTATCTATGTGTGTATTTTGTTTCAATTCCAGTAGTCTTAGTAAGTCAGAGAAGAATAAATTAAAAATAAATAATAAATATTCAAATAAAAAGTAACATTAAAATATTACTCGCATGATGTCTTCATGGCAATCAAATATAGTTTAGGCTTTCATGGCAGTAGTCAATGGTTGAACAATTTCCAGCCACATCGTTGGTTTAGGCTTCTTGATGTTTCGAGAGACATATCGCTGTCTTCTTCAGAAGTAACTCTGAAACTGTGTGTGGCTTGTAGTTATTGATCCGCATTGTTCCGGTTCTTGATTTTTGCAGATGAGTCGTTTCTAAGTTTCCTCTAACCCCTCTTCTAACCTTGTGGATTCTTCTCGATTTCTAATTCTGATTTTTTCTGTGTTATATTGGGAAGGCTGTCCCTATCTTTCTTCGGGTGTTGTAAATGGTATTAATATGGAGTTTCCTTAAGATGCCTTATATCTTGTCAGTACATCCTTGTACATAGGGCAGATACGTCACTACGTCTTTCCATATCCTAAGGTGTCTTTCTATTGTGTTTCCATTTCCTCAGATCGTAAGCGCTGTAGTTACTAATCTAAGTATTCCGATTCGTAAATGATCAGTATTCGATGCACCAAAGTGTTGACAATACCCTGTTTGTTTGTAAGTTGGCTTTATGTTAACACTATGTCTGATTTTCTCTTGACAAGGACATCTAGGAACGAGAATGTATTCGGATTTATTTTATCGATGTGATTGATCCTACCATATTGGTGTATCCATGGGGTCAGATAATAAATGTATCGGTTAGGTATCTAAACAAACGCTTGCTTTAAAGTTACTGATTCGAGAGCTTCTCGAAGGCTTTCATGTAGATATTTAACAAAGCTGGGAAAAAGGTGAACCCTTAGCTGCTCCTCCACTTTCTTCATAAAACTGATCTCTAAAGGAGAAGAAGGTTAATCTGGTGTACAAGTTTACTAATTCCACAAAATTCTCATCCTTGTCATCTGCAATAACCCTTAGATGAAGTTCTTCCAAAGCATCTTTAATTTGGCATATTTCTTTAATACTAGTAAATGTCATCATTGTGGATGAAATACTCCATATTGAAAACAATGTTGAAAGTGCACAGAAACATGTATCTAAAAATATGATAAACTAATTGCTTTTTTTGAAAATTTACTCCCAAAACCACAAATCAACAAACGATACAGTTTTCGAACAACATCATGAAATTTTTAAAGGAAGCAAGATTTAGCGATGAAGGTAATAGTTAACTTTTGTAATAAGATCTTGATCTACTAGTTCCAAATCTGTTTTTGTACGTTCGATAGACTTATCGGGTTACGCAGATAGAAAGCGTACAGTGCAGCCTCCTGAGATTAATGCAATGTCAGGAATACCTGCTGCAATTGCTTCTTTTCTTAATTTATTTGATGGTTTGTCCGGTCACAGTAAGAGACGTTTATCAACTACGTAACTGGCGGCAATCTTACGACGATCAAACACCATGGTGTCCGGAAATCATCCATCCATCAGATCATATTATATAGCTCATACAATTTTTAATGGTCCCTAGTAATTTCGGAAAACGACAGCGCTATAAAACATCCCGCTAAGTGTAAAATATTTGTCTTGTAACAGCCCAAAACCGCAATTCTTGTTAAATTTATAGTCAATAGTCAAGAAGGTAATGAATTGAAGCAATCGTCAAGAATTGATAACCTATATTTTGTGTCTGCATGAATCTTGCTCTAGAAATCCAAAAATTATTTCAGTGTTTCATGTCAGAAGAGAAAACTCGTCCCGTGCAGAAATGTGAATAAAATAAAAAATATATGTATTTGTTATAGATTGAACCATTTCTGCTTAAAATCAACTATTGATACTAGATTCTGTATGACCCCCGTACAAATAACTTAGGTAATCAAAACCGTGGTACCTTTTTATCGAGGTTGTAATCAAAACTTTCCGGATCATTATTTATAGCATCGGAATTGCATTGCAGATAATCCCAACAAAAACCAGATGGAGCAAAATATGAATCGGTCGAGAAAATACTTGTGAATATTTCGCTGTTGTCTGCAAACGAAACGGGCTACGGTTAAAACCATTATTTAATAGAATCTAGGTATATATTTTGTTTCAAGTCAAAATAAATTAATTCTGAAACATAATAGAGGGATTTTTCAATAACTCTGACATCAATTATAAACAAAATGTTTCTCACTAAATCAATTTTAAATAAATTAGCGTTTGTAGCGTCCTCAAAAATATCAAATATCTCCCAGGCTAAACGTGACAGTAATAAAGATGCGGATTTCAACACTTCTTCGATCATGGAAAAAAAACCGTACAAAAAACCTATCTTATTTAAAACAAAGCACATCAATTAGTAAGACAGTGGTTCCAAGCTTTGGATCATAGATAACCTGATTTTTTTAAAATTAAACACTATGTTAAATTTCACACAAACAGACGTAAAATTTAATTTCTTTTGATTTTATTATATTATGATATATTTTCTACATTACGAGATATACGAGATTATTTTTGATTACTATTCTCTCGTCTGTGCTATTTAATGTGATCATATTTAATAGGATAAGAAAATAAAATCCATCAAGTGTTCAATATTGAAAAAATAAAAATTCAAAATATTTTGTAAATAATAATTTAGATATATAAGGACTATATCAGTAGAAGTTTTAAAAACATGGTATTTTTAATAATTAGTCGTCGCGATTTCTTCTATAATAAAATTTTGTTCGTAGGTACATACTTTATCTTTAAAAAATTAAATTACCTACCAATATTTTTTTTATTCGAAAAAAACAGTAAAAAAGTATCTCACTCTAGAACCTGCCTCATAAAGCATATTGAGAATTTTTCAAAGAAAAAGAAAGGCTGCTCTTTTTCAAAAAGCACTATTTTGGTTAAAGAATCAAAAAACACTCCAAAATATTAAAAATGTCTTATTTATACAGTGTGGGCCATTAGTGTGACAAAGTAAAATAACTCCCTTGTTATTCATAATATAGAAAGAAAGTTTATATAAAAGTTGCACAAAATCAAAAACCTAAAGGACAAAATTAATTTGAAACACATAGGGCGATTAGTAAATACGGGACACGCCAGATATTACATTTTTTAAATGGAACACCCTGTATATTTTTAAACATATAGATTTCTGAGAAAATTCTATATATGGCAATATAAATATTTTAACATTTTAGTGCAGGGTTGTCAAGTTATGTAGAAAATTCTTCGAATTTTGGAAAAAACATGGCTTCGAAGAAGTTGTATTAATTTTCAACTACTAACACTTGGAGCAAAAATATTTGACATAGTTATAGATAAATGTTAGGCAAACACTCCTATATTAGCTGATATTGATATTTTATACAGGAAATTTTTTATAATTCGATCAATTTTGGAAAGTTCAAACTTGATTTTCTAAAATTTTTCAAATGGAACACCCTGTATTTTATTCTATTTTATTCGCATATCAGTCCACTTCAGCTTTTATTAAATCTGTTCTACACCTAAAGTTGTTAGTTTTTAAGATATACCTAGCAAAATTTCTGGAAAAATCTATTTTTATTATTTTCACATTATGTCAACTTGTCAGTTCATAATTTATCATTCCATTTTGAGTTAATTTTATTATTTAATATTTATTTGTGGTATTCTATAAAATAGTAAAAATTAAGTTTTTTCAGAAATTTTAGATATAGAACATGCTTAATAAGAGCTGAAGTGGACCGATATGTGAATAAAATAAAACAATAAAATACAGGGTGTTCCATTTGAAAAATTTTAGAAAATCAAGTTTAAACTGTTTAAAAATGATCGTATTATTAAAAATGCCCCGAATAAAATATCGATATTATCTAGTATAGGAGCCTTTGTCTAACATTTGCCTATAACTCTGTATTTTGTTCCAAGTGTTAGTAGCTGAAAGTTAATACAACTTCTTCGAGGTCGTGTTTTTTCCAAAATTCGAAGAATTTTCTACATAACTTGGCAACCCCGCACTAAAATGATAAACTGTTTAAATTGTCATATATAGAATTTTATCGGAAATCCATATGTTTAAAAATATGGAGGGTGTTCCATTTAAAAAATGTAATGTTTCGCCTTTTATGTTTCAAATTAATTTTGTAGTTTAGGTTTCTTGATTCTGTACAACTTTTATAAAAACTTTATTTTCTGTATTATGAGTAACAAGGGAGTTATTTTACTTTCTCACACTAATGGCCCACCCTGTATATATTTTTTTAAATACAACTACATTTCAAAACAAAGAAAATAAAAAAGTTTATGATACCTTTAGTTTGTGCCAAGTTACAGGTTTTTCAAATTTTTTACCCAAAATATTTCATTGCTCATAACTTTTTGGGAAGTTGAAATTAAAATTTGAAAAAATTCATGAAAGCTATTCTAATTGGGTACTAAATAATACCAAAAAATTAGGAAAATTAAAATTGCTCGGGTCACGACCTAAGTGATTTGGCATCGAATGTCGCATATACAGGATGTCCGTTAAAAAATGGGCCGAACTTTACCACTAAATTCTACGACGAAAATTAATGAGGAAGAGTTGATCATAAACGCTTAGGTTTCGAGATACAGGGTGTTGCAGTTGAAAAAATAAACATATCTCCGAAATATGCCTGAAAACCGTTTTTATATCTTCAACTTCAACACTTTGTATCAACTAAGCGCAACATTGTATATGATTTTTCTCCATTAATTTTCGTCGTAGAATCTAGTGATAAAGTTTGGAACATTCTTTAACGGACACCCTGTATAATGACACTTTTGTGAATAACTAAATTCTTTTGTATTTTACATATTTTTCCGCATTGTGTACAGGAATTTATAGACATACTATGTTATGTTAAAAAAACGTTTCCTGGTTCTGTGATTTAATTTCACCAGAAAATATTTATATATTTAATATTTGTCTTTGCATACTCGCAAACAAGAGCTAAAGAGGTGCGAATTTCGCGTGAATCCTGGTTACTTTAGAACGTCGAGTGTTTACCTAACTCAGCGCTGCTTCTCCACATGAATTCTAAGTTTCTGTCAAGAATCCTTCGATCCTTTTCAGATTTACTCAAGCGGACAAAAAAGACTGCGTCGAAGCCCATTTGCTTAAAAATCGATGCTTGCTCTCTGCTGTGGCCAAAAGGATCAATTTGCCAGCCTATTTTTGGCCGTCCGCATTCGCCGAAAGTATCATTTAAGAGCCTGGAACGAAACTTTATGTTAAGAGGTGTAATAAATACAGTAACTTGGATTTCTAAAGATTTTATTACAGATATGTAAATGTAAACTGAAAGAAAGTTTGAGGTCTTCTATCGACTACACTTGACTCGCGCTATTGATTACTAAAATTCCACAGGATTATTGAAATTGCTTTCTACATGTAAGTAAGTTTTCCGAAATTAAAAAAGAAAAAACCTTCCAAAATGGATATTCAGATGTTTTAATGACATTTTTCTTTATAGGAATAAACTGTCAAATATTTCAATAATTCAAGATTCAAGTCAATTTAAATTTAAGTTCATTTTATTTTCAATCATCTTTACTGAAGTGGAACTTATCGTAATTATTTTACCTTAATCCCCACGTGAACTGATTGATTGTTGATTGATAATTAGTACATGCCTCGTCATTCATTGACCATCCCCCACCCACCATTTCTATTTGACCGTTTTTAACAAAGGTTCTAAATACATCTCGTTTTTCTTCATTTCGATCTTTCCACCACTTCCAAAAAAAGGCCGTTTCAACCTGAATATACCTATAAAATAAATAAAATACATAATAAAACGATTGTGGTTCAGATAAATTGAAGCACTCGAAACAAGATAGTACAGACAAATAATTTTTTAAACACTAACCTTCTTTTCTCGTCCCTTTTAAGAGCTTGTAAAACAGAATCAATAATATACTGTACACCAGCGTTGTGAATACTATCGTTTCCTAGAATAATAAATTCAAAATGAAATTCAAGTTAATGTGAACAAAAACGATGAACAAACAGTTTTACGTAGATATAAATTTCTACTTACTGCCATAATAATATTCTTCAATAGTTTTAAGCCAGCCGACGTCATCATGGGAATGAGGAATAAGATGTACATTTATTTTATTCTCATCTAGTTCATGGCATTTCTATATTTAATAGAAATTAGAATACGTGTAAATTGGAATCGCTCAAATTTTTACTCACCTGCAATAGTGCACAAGAATCATCCTGTGTGTGAAAATTATCCCAAAATGGAAAGGAATTTGTTGTGGCTATTAACACTATAATGTAAAAAAATGTTCCTAGACGAAACATTATTATAAACGGTTCGAACTAGACGGTACTCCGTTCAGATCGATAGTAAAAATTATATGAACTCAAATGATATCTAGTATCAGTAAATGTTATGAAAGATAATCAAGGATAATACCTTTGATTTAACATTAAGTAGGAAAACAATAAATATTTTTCATATTTTAACAGCAGATAATTTGGGAACGATTTTTTTTTATTAAATTGGGTATTTTTTCGTAACGGAAAGTTAAAATAAATTAAAAATAATTGATAATCTCTTGCGACGGGGAATGTTTTTAATGAACTTATTTTTCCTAGCCAGAAATAAGTACCTCACAGTAATATGGTAAAAATTTAATTCTCTTTGCAAAATTTCAAATAAAGAGTAAAAACGTGTGAGAGCTAATAATCGAATATACAGGCTGTTACAATGTCACGCGAGGCTGCCGTAATAACGAAACTGCTTTGAAACATACATATAAAGTGTATGTTAATGTTTGTAGAAGTATACAAGCCGGGCTAATATTTCTATTTTTTATAAAATCTAAATGAAAATCCTTTTCGCGAACGTCAGTTTTTCGGTAATATTGCAAGTGCAACTAAAAATTTCCAGATTTATTTAAAGCCGTTTGACGTTGAAAATTTTTCTTTGTAGTCAATCAGTGAATATGCTTCACATATTCTCAATGTCACGAGCCGCCACTGCCTTACCGGGTTGCCTTTCATTAAAAATTCTTGCAGTTACCGGGGCCATTTAGTCCAGTTACTCAGGGTCCTTACCTCCGAATTCTTTATAACTGAACCGATTGACGTGAAATTTTGACTGAATGTGGGGAATGCCTCAAGGAACAAAACTTATATAGTGCCGAAGTGTGCTTTTGCCCTGGGGGTGGTTCCCACCCCTTCTTGGGGTGGAAAATTTTACGCCCAAAATAACCACAGGAATCGATACAGGAGTCAATTTTAAGTAACAAATGTTATATAAAGTTTTTTGGATAATCTAGTTTTTTGGTTAATTTTAAAAATTTTTTAAAAAAGTTCGATTTTTACGCTGTAACTTAAAAATTAAAGGGTGCACGAAAAAAATACAAGAGTAAAAAAATTTAGCTTCATTTTTGCTAAAGATTTTGCATGTTTTATTATTCCTCTAAAATTAATATTAATCGAGATATCGCTATTTTAAGTTATCATATGAATGAGAGAACCACCCTTTTCGAGCCCTTTAAACCCTTCAAACTTAAAAATGAAAGGCTTTAAAAAAGATCAACTCAACAGTTCATGTAGCCCTGCAAAATGAGCCTTTGTGCGATGAAAAATCTTAAAAAGTGAAAGTTTTCATCGAAAATTAAAACACCTGTATAGGTGATAATTTTCGGAAAATATATATAAATATATAAATAAATGTAAGGGGTAATTTTTAAGAGTTGAAAAGTTGCAATAAATTCAAAATTATTTTATAAGAAGGGAATAAATGTTTATTTAATACGAATGCAGATTTAAAATGTTTCTCCTCTTTCAATAATATTTTTTCATTTTATTTTCGAAAGAGGTATATTTTTCAAGGGTTGAAAAGTTGCAATGGATAAAAAAGATTTTTTAATCAAGAAATCAATTTTAATTTGATAAAAATGCATGATTAAAACGTTTCAAGCTGAAAAAAAATTTTTATATTATTTTCATCCAAAGTGGTGCTTTTTAAAGGTTTTTCCGGGTTGAAAATTTGGGATACATTAAGTTTCATGTTAGATAGCACATGAAATTACTCATACTGCATAAATAAAAAAGATTTGATTACATAAAATGCTTAAATTTGTATTTTATCTTTTTTTTCCAATAAGGGGTGGTTTTCACCCCTCAAGAACAAAAAGCACACCTAGCGCATATATAAGTTTTCAAGTGGGGAGTAAGATAAGCCTAATTCTAAGTTTTGAAAAAAATCGATGCAGTTATAAAAAATTCGGAGGTATTACTATATTTTCAGCTACAGTAACTGGGCTAATTTCATTATTTTGAAAATAGAAAGTGACAATTTCAATTCTCTCTGTAGTGGTGTAAACCATGATAATTTGAATCGTTTACTACAAAATTACCAATAATAAATCAATAGATTTCACTACCTAGACAATTCTGATTGATGTAAGATCGGAACAAAAATACATGTAAAATTCTAATAAAACTGGAAAAAGCTGTTGTATTGAAAATATTTCAGATGGACTGTTTTAATTGGACCACCCTGCATATTCTCTCTTGTACCTCTTAGTGTACAAAATTTTGGACATACAGTATACTTTTCTTATTACCACTAATATTCTCAAAGAATACTTGCTAATATTTCACACAAATTTATGTTTCAATTAATAAGTAGTAATACTAAGAAAATCAGTAGTTAGTAAAGACTAATAATAATAATAATAATACATTTTGCAATCGTTTCTTCTTTTGATAATTTTTCAAAAATTCCCAGTTTGTTTTGTTTTGTTTTATCTCATCCTTTCCGAGATATCATAATAACTTGTCTTCTTGCGTCATCTTGGATTTATCGTTTAAATTAAACGATATGTTCAATTTGTTGACTCTACTGTATTATAGGATAAAACAACGCGTAGGAGCAATTTTTTCAACTCATAAAATGAGAGTTTGTAGAAATTTAATGTTTGTCTTATTTTTATACAATGAGTTTTCACGTTTATACCATGGGTATCTCGGTAAATATTTATTTTATTTATTTATTTATTTTAATTACAATATCCAACGGGCAATGTCCAGTTACAGGATAAGGTTACAAACTAAAAAATTAAGTAATAAAAAAAAGTAATGTTAACCGATACTATAAATCTGTTTTATTCTCTTTTAAACTATTTTGAAGGTATTCAGCTACTTCTAACACATTAAAAAAAAAATTCTAAAAAATCTTATCAAACGAAGTAAAACAATGTTCTTCGATACCAGAAATCAGGGTATGTAAAAAATATATAACTCTACATACATTATTTGACTTCATTTTGTAATAGATGTAACATAATTTAGTTTAGTTTTCCGGTGCATTTTCCTGAAGAAAGCTAAACTGTCGACATCCCTTTTATGTACTATTTGTTCTTAAAAGTATCGATATCCATTATTTCACTATTAATTTAGTTTTTGTATAAAAAATTACTTTTCATTTAGTATCTGTAATTTGTCTGTACAGGGTGATTCAGAACTTATCAGAACAAAAAACATTCTGGATGTACAGAGGACCCTTACAAATACAATTTTGTAAAGAAAAAATCAAAAAGGGCAGATCGAAATTGATTTAAAAATACATTTCTGCACGACACTGGAAACTGGCTCACTGTAAAACCTGACTTCGCATAATGCGACCGGCATGGCGGTGTGATAAAAACGGACAAAAATTTTCGCAAAAAAAGAAATAAATAGAATTTTATAGCACCTATTTTATATCGGCAAATTCAAATGATCTTGCCTTTATTAATTAATAAAATGAATTTGTGTTTTTAAATAATAAAATCATTTGACATACCCGATGTTACAACAATTGTCCAAAATTTTATCTATTAACGTGTAAACACATTTGGGTCCGTCTTACTCACTTTCTACGAACTAACACAAATGATGTCTTGCTTCACCATAACACAAATGCTTCACCATAATACAAATGTTGTCTTGCTTCACCATAAATTAAAACGATTATCAACTCTGAGTTGCTATACACGCAAGCCATTTTTGACTCTAACTACTAAAAAACTGTTGTAAACACCACAAATAACAGGTGAACATTATCGCAACGACGGATTTCAGTATTCGGAGTCGCTAAGGCCACGTGGCTCTCCACGCGTATTGCGAATGACGCTAGAGACTACAGTTGTCCAGCTATGTTGTGGTTGAATGTACTATAACTTCAATAATTTTTTTCCGGGAAACTATAAGGATTTTACAAAAAATTTTATTACGATATTGACTCCATTTCTCATGCCGCATCTATTCCCAAATTTTTTTGGATAAGTTGTGAATCACCCTGTATATTCACATCTGAATCTATTCTACATTTGAAACTATATGAATTATTTGCACTTCTGCTATTGAACAAGTAGGTTAGGTACTTAATCCTAGTAGTTCTTCTCACCAACAGTAAAATGTTACGTTTCTCGGGAAAACTGCCATGTTTTGAAAATAATTGTATTTGCTCAACAATGAAAACGCGTTGTTCTTTTATGTAGCGCTCCATTTTTAATAACCCTGAACTGTCAGCTGTCATGCTGTTTTTTTCGATGGCAACTCTTATCGGCACAATTGACGCAAAATGAAAATCTTGCGAGAATTTTGGGACACTCGATATTAATTCACCATCGTCACTGTGAAGTCAATTTGTTTTAAAGTTATTCATATTTCATGCAACTGCACTAGTCTATTGGGCAATAAACTTATTTATTATTATTAACGTTACTATTACACGTCTACTTGACAAATGAAGAAAAATTGACGGATCTATTTAAAATTTTCCAGTTTTTCCTCAAAAAGAAAGCGGTTCAGCGGGTTTAACAAGTACAAATAGCAAAATAATTTTTTATACCTATATGTAATTCCAGTGCGTACTTAAAGATAAGAATAAAGAGAAAATTTAATTATAAATTTTTAATAACTTTTAAAAGGTAATCTGTTAACCATATGCAACTTATAATTCTTGTCTTATTTAACTTGACCTTCCAGGTAAACTTAAATTAGACTTGTTAGTGACAGAACAAGTTTTAGTTATGGCGACTGCCAAAGAGCAAAAACCATTAAATGGAGGTTACTCTCTCGTTTTCATTTATCCCGTATAAATGCAATTAATTAAATAATCTAAATAACAAACAGCCGAGATGTGCAACAAATTCTTTATCGTGGAAATAACATCATTAACTTTACGCTGATAAGACTAATATGTTAAACGCACTAGCAACCCAACACAAAGTCAGTTCGAAATGTTCCACTCATAGTGTTATCACCTTTAACAAAAAAGTGTCTTCCTGAAAGATTTATCTACACATAAATATATAAATAGTGCTCAGTTTGTTGTGGATGATAGAAGTATGATGGGAAATCCTAAAGTGAGTATAATTATTTGCATATTTCTTTATTTTTTGGTGCAAAAAATCACATCTAAAAATATATATTGCATGTCTTTGAAACATGTTTAAAGAACCCAGTAAAATTTATATGAATTATAAATAAAAAGGTAACAGAAAAAGTGTTTTAAAAATTACATCATTTTAAATTAAATTGAATTCTATTAACAAGTAAGAAAATTCTATAAATTCAACAAATAATGTTTTGATATAACCAAAATTATATTAATTTTTCTGTATTTAATTTCATATTTATATGTTATATTGAGTTAAAAAATATAATTATTACAGAATTTGTTTATAATCGTATTATATTTTGTTATAAAATACATAAATCGTTTCTATGTTCTTATTCTAATCTTATTCTCTTCCTATGTGGTCATTTTATAAACCTAAACTTTAAGAAACTGTATATTTTTTATCAAAAATTCGACAAATATTTTATAATTAAGATCCCTCAAAACGCCCGTGTGCCAAAGTTTATCAAAAATATCAAATGGTACTTATTTTTTTGTTGATGTTCATACAAAAAAAAATTATTAAAATATGTACTAGAAAAAGTTAGGCAGAACAATTAGCTTGAGCATAAAATTCAATTTTTATTATTAGAGATTACGTGACAAATTGATGATTTACTGATTCTTTAGAAAACAATATTGTTCGGTCAAGTCTTTTCACATTACATTATATTATTATAAAATTAATATTCCTGCTAAGGAAATGCCTTTGGCATTTTTAAATGCAATTTGGTACATAAATACTTTGAAGTAAAATTGAAATTCCTTATTATTAGTAGTAGTAGTTAGCCTAAGGATATAATATATTCTATATGGTATTTTATATAGCGGTGAAATTTTTTGTCTAATGACCATTGTCCACACTGAAGCAATGGAGTTATTTGATGGCGAAGTTTAACTATACAGAGTGTCCCTTAATGCGACTGCCAAACCTCTAGAAGGTATTTTTTGACTGTTAGTGACTGTAGTTAGTAATGACTAATTACAGTCACTAAAATTTTCATGAAAAGTTAATTAGAGTTTAAAATATACTAAGAATGTATGAATTGTTTATGAGACATCCATCAATAAGTTTTGACATAAGTCTACTTTGAGAAAAGTCACTTATTTTATACACCGTAATATTGTAAGAGTTCAGTTAAACGCCTTTTTTCTCGAAAACCGTCCATATTAGGAAGTTCTAACAAGAGTACATTATTTTTAGAAAATAAAATTGTACATTAGAAATTGCAGCCCGAATGGTAAAAAACTTAACCTTAAAAAGATTAGAACTTAAAATGTAATAGGCGTGTAGCATAACTAGCGCCCTCTATGAAATATACAAAACTATGAAATATACAAAAAATAATTATACTTTGGCATCCTTAAAAACCCGGAATACCAAATTTCATAAAAATATTTCGGATCGTTTGGAAATTTTCGTAAAAATACTATTGAAAATTTTTATTTTGTCGCTATTTATCTCGAAAACAAAAGGATAGACATACAGTTCATAAGACAAAGATTTTTTGTCGTACTATCACCCTATTTACGGGAGGCCTTTCTGAAACATCCTGTATATACGCGTATGTCTATCTACTGTACATTTAAATATAGAAAATTTAAAAAAATTTGTTTGTTGTGAAATTTTTATATTTGCTATGAATTTAGAAAAATAAAAAGATACATTTTGTACTGTACATTTAAATATAGAAAATTTTAAAAAATTTGTCTGTTGTCAAATTTTTATATTTGCTATGAATTTAGAAAAATAAAAAGATACATTTTCGGTCTGAAATACAAGGTGTTGATTTAAAAGTCCATATCTCCAATAATAAAAATTTTTTGCTTAAAAAATTGCAAGTTATATAAAAACAGATAAAAAAATAATTAAACAGCGAAAGGCGTGGAATATAATACAGTTATAGGAACAAAGACCTGAATAAAAAAAATTATGTCTCTAGCTAAAAGAGTTTTAGAAAATGCATTAAAGAAATTATAGTACAACTGTAAATAATAGAAAGTTTCACACTATAACCTTTTTTCACTTTTTATGTTAGAATTTTTTTCGTTCTCGGCTGTACCATATACAGCTCAATTAAATTCATCTTATCCGCGACATGCCCAGGTCAAAAAGAAAGTCCGCAGTGGGAGTGACAAAGATAGGTCACCTTAATAGTAACGCTGGTATAGTCTTTCCATCGAATAAGGTTTAGTCTTTCCAAAATCAATTGAAGAACCAAGAGGTTGACAGTATGTACCAGGTTCGGTCGCTGACGCAGTAACTCGGCTTTGAAATATTTGAAAAACTTGTTCCCATATTTATTTAGCCGTACCCATATACAGATCTGGTCGAACTAAACGTGGAGGTGTGTAGAAATTTTCTACACATTATATACAAATTATTATAATTTTGTACCTTTAGCAGAAAACTTTTTTAGGGACGCATATGAAAGTCATTAAATTTTATTGCCAGACGTTTTTTTACATGTTCAACTAACTTCGGAACGACTATACCCTCTGTCTGGTAAATATAGCTATTTAATGAAGGTTTTATATTATTATATGAGCAAATTACCTCTACTTGACCTTATTCATACCTATTTCATAAATTATCTGTACTCGATCCTATTTAATGACCGAATTCATCGGTCGACGTTCAGACAGAGAACGAGCTGCGATGCTACTGATGCTAGTATAGAAATATTGCAATTGCGCATCTAAAACTAACAGACAAGATTAATTTGATCTAAACTGTTTTATATTCATCCCAGGAGTCTGTAGTCAAGATGTGTCTTAATCTTTCTAGGACCGTATAATAAAGTGTTCGTTTTAAAATAAGCTGGGTACAATATTTTGAACCTTTGAACAGAGCTTCTATTACGTTACCAGAATAACGAATTTTAATCTTAAACTAGCCCATTTATTATAAAATTATTGAATTCGAACTTTTGAGGAAGTAGCAACTCTGCTTAAAGTGTACCTTGAAAACGAAATGAAACTGCGTTTGAGTGTTTTTTAAGAAAAAAATTATTTTACTAAATATTGATGCTAATAATAATAATAATCTGATTTATTCCCAGAGACAATATGTACAATTGTATAAGGATGTGTCAAAGAAAACCTAAAAACCAATACGACAAGCCATAAAATGCACATACAAGTAAAAAAGAAGTCAAAATACACAATTTCATCCAAAATATTCATTCAAGCTATATGGACATAGTTCCAATAAGAAAAATTTCAGTTGTTTTTTAAACAGACATAAGGTATTACAGTCTTTTATGTCACCTGGTAACTTGTTAAAAATCTTAAGGCCCAAACAGCTTGGTGAATTTTTAGTGACATTTAGTTTCCTAAAAGGTATATAAAAATCATGTCGATGGCGGGTACTAACCTGACGAGAGTCGATATTATTAATAAATTTAGTTTCATTTTTGAATATATTCACAGTTAATTCAAATATATATAAACCCGGTAATGTTAAAATACGGTAATTCTTAAATAAATTCCTACACAAACGACCAACATTTGCAATGCATCTTAATATTTTTTTTTGACATAAAAATATATCATTAGTCATAGTAGACCCACCCCAAAAACAGATGCCATATGCTAACCTACTTCTCACTTGAGAATGGTATAAATCTATAAGCTGTTGTGTCGTAAGCACTTTTTGAAGATTTCGAAACAGATAACATACGGAATTCAGTTTGGAACAAAGACTGGAACAGTGATATCTCCAAGATAAGTTTTTATCAAAATTAATTCCCAAAAATTTTACTTGACATTCGCTATTGATAGGGCTATTATTAATTCTCAAACTTAAGTTGCTAACCGATTTTTGGCGATTATGAAATGTTACCGAGCGAGTTTTTGCCGGATTCATATAAACATTATTTTTATTAAACCACTGATGTAGATCATTTAAAAGAAAATTACATCTATTCTCCAATACATACCAATCACTGTCTGCAACAAGAAAAGATATATCATCCGCATACATTGTGATGTGAACATTAGATAAAACAGCAGGTATATCGTTTATATATAGTAAAAACAATACAGGGCCCAACACAGAGCCCTGAGGTACCCCTAGATTGGATGATAATTTCTCAGAACTTATATAACTTAAACAAGAATGCGACTTATGTTTTATACCTACATACTGTTCACGATTGTTTAGGAATGATTTTATCCATTTTAAAGATCGTCCTCGCACTCCATATTCTGATAATTTGCCAAGTAAAATACTATGATTAACGCAATCAAACGCTTTACTTAAGTCACAGAATATTCCCAGTGGACACTTACCAGATTCAATAAACTTTAAAACAGTTTCGTAAAAGGAATGAATTGCAGTATTTGTTGATTTCTCTGACTGAAAACCATGTTGGTCATGAGATGTAATGTTATGTTTATTCAAAAACTTAATAAGTCTATCCAAAAAAGCGTATTCAAAGATCTTTGAAAATGGGGATGAAATTGATATTGGTCTATAATTGTCTAGTGACGTAGCGTCGCCATTCTTAAAAACTGGTGTGACTTTATTAACTTTAAGTTTACTGGCAAAACAGCCATTTACAAATGATAGATTTATCAAAAATACTAAAGGTTTTAAGATGTTATAACTCACTTTTTTAAATATCTGTAAGGGAATATCATCAGGACCAACTGACCATTTATTTTTTAATTTGAATTTAATAATATCAAAGAGTTCGATTTCAAGAATAGGATGCAGAAACATTGTGGAAGTCGTAAAAGTCGACGGTATGTTATCTGTGTGAAAAGGATCATGTAAGCGCATATCATTAAGTTTTTTATTTATAGTACGAGTAATGTCCAACGGACTATTATCTGAGAATCATCAGTAGTTTCCCCCTTTTCACATATGGAAAAATTGTTTGGACATTTATTTTTATTTGATAATTCAGACACTACACTCCAAGCACTTTTTGATGGATTATCTGATGAGAATATTTTGTT